AAACCACTGAATCAGCTAAATTTCATCAACAAAAGGCAATAAATGGAAAGAAGCTGAGAACAACAACTTAGTGAAAGTAACGTGTTGTTTTATGTAAAATTTGTTATATGAATTTTGTAGAAAATCTTTTAAAAAGAGAATCTAGGAGAGTAAAAACCACAGATGCGGAAGAGGAACCCTATGCAAAGTTCGCACACTTAAAATGCTCTCAAAACATACTTAAATTTGCGTATTGTTTAAGTGTAACGTCATGTGAATTAAGTAGAATTTAAGTGTGTCTTGCTCTTTTTAAAGATATGCTTATTTTGTACTTAAATCACACCTGAATTGTACTTAGTTTTATTCTTAAATATTTCCCATTTAAGTAGAAAATAAGGATGCCAGTATACCCTTAAAACATACTTATTTCCCACTTGAATGTTACTCATTTTTAATCGTTGTATTTTCAAAATTAATAGTATATTAATAGTATATATAATGGTTTTCTTTTTTCTTCCTTACTAGCCGCGTAACAAGATCCGTTTTTTTTTGTTTTGAAAAAGGAAAGTAATTAATATTATAATAAAATAATAATGTAGTATAATATAATTATATAATAATAATATATATAATGGTTTTCTTTTTTTTCCTTACTAATCGCGTAATAAGTGTTCACTAGATCCGGTTTTTTTTTTGAAAAAGAAAAGTAATTATATATAAAAATTTTCTTTTTTTTTCTTACTAAACGCGTAATAAGTGTTCACTTAGATCCGTTTTTTTTTTTGAAAAAGAAAAGTAATTAAAATAATAATGTAATATAATATAATAATATAATATAATAATAATATATATAATGATTTTTTTCCCTTAATTGTTGCATAACAAGCTTGTTCTCGTAATAAAATAATAATGTAATAATATAATATCATTATTATAATATTCTTTTTTCTTTTACCTTTTTGAAAAAAGAAAAGTAATTAATATTATATAATAAAGTACAACAATAATACAAGAGTATATAATGTATATAATTATAAGTTACTACCTGAAAGAAGTCTTTTTTATATATTAAACCAAGGTGTATATAGCAGCAGTTGTGATGAAAAATTTTTTTTATTAATTGTGTGACAGAAGAAAATTATAACAAAAAACGTTAAAGAATTTACGAAAAAACGTTATTCAAAAATGATGTAAAAATGAATACATTTTATTTTTATTTTTATTTTTTTATAAATACAACTTTTGTACCAAAAAAATTTCTTGAGGGAGTGATCAACTATCATAGTAATAGCCGTGGGAGAAATGCATTTCTGATCTCAATCATCTTTAATTTCAAAATGATAAAAAGCGCATAAAGGAAATGATAAAATCAATTCTTATTCCCAATCTTGTAGTTATCAAAAAATATTCACGGCCACAATTTTAATTTTTTGTTGATTGAAATAATAATTATTTAATCTTATTACAAATACATATTTCATTTTCTATTTTATGTCTTTTAATTTTTCATTCACTAGATCATCAGTAAATTCCCATAATTTTTTTGCCAGTTCTTCATCTTTGGCATAATCTTTTAGTGTAACGGTAGATTCTACACAAAATGGAATGAAATATTTTCCACGAAATTTCTTCTCTTCAATTTCAGGACTTGTTGCACAATATAACGAGGTTAATGCTCCATCATCAGCTGTAAGTTGTACGAGACCTGCAAGTTTAATAAATGGAACTAACCATATACCCCAATTATCTACAAGACCTCTTGTCAATTCAGTTTTTATGGCACCTAATTAAATAAATTAAAAAAACGAATGAATTATTTTTTTTATATTGTTTTTTGTTTGAAAAAAATAAATAATTATTATATTATTACCTGGATGTAAAGTATTGACATAAACTTGTTTTCCTTCAAGTCTTTTATTTAATTCAACTGTAAATAAAATATTTGAAAGTTTTGATACACCATAACGTCTCATTGATGCTTGAGCATCTGGATCATTTATTTTATCAAATTCTATTCCACTCTCTGGTGCAAATTTATAGGCCAAACTATTATTAAATATGAAATAATACAATGGATAAATATAAATATATGGATGTTAATAATTGACTATCTAAATAAATAACCAACCTGCTAACATTAACTATTCTTGATGGAGCTGATGCTTCAATTGTTGGTAAAAGTAATTTTGTAAGATACTTTATTTTGAAAAATTATAAAATAAGCACAATTAGCATATATATTGGTGTGAATCTAATACAAATGACTAGATTGGATTAGGTTAAAACTTACAAAATGCCCAACATGATTGGTTCCAAATTGATCTTGAATTCCATCAACAGTTAAAGAAAACTTACTTTGATCATGAACATTAAATATATATAAATATTAATTAATTAAAATAATAAATATATAAAATATAAATTAACTTACGTTGCCATTATACCAGCATTATTGATCCTATCAAAAAATTTATTTAATTAGTTAAGTGTAATATAACATTATAGTTTATAGATCAATTAAATTATTACTTACAAAATATGTAAAGGTAGCTTTCGAGCCAAAAAAGATTGAGCACATTCTTTAACAGATTTTAAACTTTGTAGATCTAATTGTAAAAATTCTATGTTTTGATTTCCTGTTTCTTGTTTAATCTTTTCAACAGCTGCTGTGCCTCTTTCGATACTACGACTTAGAACAAATACATGCGCATTTTTCCTTGCTAGCTCTCTACATGTGACATACCCAATACCCGTGTTGCCACCAGTTACCACCACAACCTATAAAACAATGATTATGAGTTGGCGAGTGATTAAAAATATCCAATTTTAATCAATTAATTACTTTGCCAGTTAAATCCGGAATGTCTTCAAATTTAAATTTTTTCATTATTTTTTTAATTAATATTTTAAAATGAAAAAAACGCTTGTACAATTTTATATATTTTTGGATAAATATGCTATTACTGAAAAATTCATGGTTTCAATTGGCCTCAGTACGAATCAAATTTGTCTTTCATTTAAAGCACACAATACATTAATTAATATTAAACAATTCATTGCCATTATACAAAATTACACAGCATTGATCTCATATTGTGCAACAAGCTCCGAGAAGGTGATTGGATGGGATATATGTGTAATGTTTCAAGTTCAATAGTTCCCTTTCATACTAAAATGTTCAACAGTTTTTGTGACACTAAAATATATGATACAATCAGGAATTGTCTTTTTAAAATATAAGATATTATGATTCTTTTGACAAATTCTGACGATCATTGTATTATAAAAAATAAAAGCTTTGTTCTACCATACAGCATGAAATAGACAATGTTTGGAGGTTGCAACCTGGGTTATTATTATTGTTTTGGATCTTCCCCGAATTCAGAGTTTTGGGTCCCGAGTTGCTGTTTTGTTGGTGGCACACTTACTTACCAACAACCATATCCCAATCTAACTGTTTCTACATTAACTTTTGCACGAACTTCAACTTCCACTTCACCTTCATCAATCTCTACAATTTTAACATCAACAACATCATCTTCACCATCTTCTTCAACTTCTTTAACCAAAACGTCTATAAATTATCTTAAGGAAAGAAAAACAAAGAAAAGAAAGCTTTCAAAGAAATAAACAAATATTTTTACATGTCATTTTACTTTTTTTTTTTTTTTAATTATTAATTAATTGTTTGTTTATAAATCATTCATTCTTTATTATTTAAAATTTATTTAATGTAACTTATGAATAGAATTATATATTAAAGTAATAATAATAAAGAATGTATCCAACTAAAATTTCATGAGAATAACTGAATAACTTGTAATAATAATTGTTGAATAATACAATGTTACACAAAAAATTTTGCACGTTTTTATTATTATCTATAGTATTTATTTAAAAAAATAAAATAAAAATTATTATTAGTATATTGACGAATTGGGTTTTGAAATTTTGCCTGTTAAAGCCCTAAAATCGAGTTTCACTTTACCATTTTTTCGAGATCTCACAAATTATCCTAAATTTTTGAAGGCAGATAATAACCCATGTCATATGATTTGTGATCGTCGGTTATATCAGATATATAGTTGGTTCGGTCTAAAGACCTCCTAAATTTTAGGCAAATTTTAAAAGTATAGAAGTCACTTTCTGTCCTACCTTTTAAAAAAATA